ACTTTCCACAACTTGCTTAAACCTTCAGCTTTACTCTAACTTAATACTTTATTCCTTTAGACAGAAAATAAGGGGTGGATTATTCCTGCCTCCCTTTTTTAGAACATATATGGTTACTTCCCGATGTTGCCATGGCATTTGTAAACTATTCTGATGCTAGTGGGAGTGTAACAGTGAGGATAACCAGAGGTCACTCTTGTCACCATCTTTGTTTTGGTGGGTTTTGGCTGGCTTCTTTATTGTAACTTGTTTTATCAGCAAGGTCTTTATGACCTGTATCTTGTGTGACCTCCTATGCTATCCTGTGACTTAGAATGCCTTGGCCATCTGGGAATGCAGCCCAGTAGGTCTCAACCTCATTTATCTCAGCCCCTATTCAAGATGGAGTTACTCTGGTTTACAGAAAGCTATACTTGTAACCTTTAAATCTGCAAGAACAAAATAAAATGAAAATAAAAAAGCAGGAGCAATTCCAGCAGACCTTGCCCATCTCTGCTGTATTTTCAGCTTGCAAGTTTTCCTAACTTGCTTCAGTGTAAATCCATTAGATACCAGGTGGGATGGCACAGTGGTGAGGGTCTGTCTCTGCAGCTGTCACAACTCGATCCAACTTAATCTAACTTAATTTCAGAGATTCTCGTTTGGGGTAGTCTCTAACTGTATTCTCCTTCCATTAATGGAGCTATTTCTGTCTTATTTTACAAGAATTAATTGCACCACAGTTTCAGTTGTTGCCCAGAATTTGTTCAGGGCCCTTTCTGCCTGTAGAATCTTCTTTACTAATGAGGGCTGTGATCTTTTTCATGCTCTTCAGCTCTTTGAGACTTCCACTCCCCCCTAGAGATGCTGATTTTTCTAGGCAAGAAATTACAGTTTCTGTATCTCCTTCTGGATTTAAATATACCTCCTCTGTTTAAAAATCATGGCTGGGAGTAAATTAAGCATATAATGGCTTGAGTTCATGGGAGTCACCAGTCCATGTCTCAGAGTAATTGTTTTTCAATGATTTCCCAGGTGAAGTAATGTTGGTCACCTATGGAATAGAGTTTTGCAGGCTTAACGAGCTCTTCTGTTTTTGTCATCCAAAAAACTCAACACTGCCAAGAAGTGTTTGGTTCTCCACTGGTGTCACATGGAATGGAGCTGGGTGTTCAAAGGTTCTGGCATGGCCACTGGGCCACATGCCAGTCCCAGGGGGTGGAATGTGTCCTATCTTCTCAGAAATTAACACCGGAAGTCTCACCCTCTTTCTTATTTACATAGTTTAGGAAGATTAATTCCAAGATAGAGAGTACATGGTTAACTGATTCCCATATAGGATGTAATTAAGAGCCCAGCCTCTGAAACCAGATTTCCTGAGTCAAATTCTACTTACCTCACTTAGTAGCTGGGTATTTGTGGGCAATTTCCTTAACTTCTCTATTCCTTGGTTACTTCTATAAAATGGAAATAATGGTAAATCCTTTCTGTGAAGATTGAGTTAAAATGTGTACCACACTTATAGAATAGTACCTGGCACACAGAAAGCATCCAGTTAGCGCTAGTCAATGTTAGGGATTGGTGTTGGAACATGGATAGAATTCTAAGTGGCAGAGGCCATATGTGACAGAAATGCACGCTAAAAATTGTAGTTTTCCTTGTTCTCCATGTGTTCAAAATACCAGAAACCAGCTGATGAAGAGAGGCTTCCAGTCCAGCACCAGCCTCCTAGTGACGATTGGCAGGCCATGGAAACTGGAGCTGGAGTCACACCCATCAGCACTCTCTGGCCAGAGCTTGAGTAGGGAATCCCACCGGGAGTGACAATGACCACAGCACAGTGGATGTCACATCATCTAATATTGCTAATCTATGTCTGGATAGTTGATTTGCCCCAGTGTATGGATATGTAAAAGAATTTGGTCCTGTGAAGATCTGCTGCATAACAAGCAAAAGGAAACACAATAAGGACACATAGTCTTGATCAATTTCATGATGTAAAATGAAAACGTGTCCTAACCCACCCAGAGCCTGTCACATCACATGTCACTCTATGTGCCTGCCTGTCCCATTTCAACTTGAGTGTTTAAGCGAAAAACCAAGTCTTCCTCATCTTTATAACTAAGGATAACAACAAAGAAAGCTTATTGGAGAGCTGGGGTGGTGCTTGAAGCATTGTTTTAGACGCATAAGGTTTAAGGTGCACATTACATGTTTACATAAAGAAAAGGAAAAACAGAAGAGAGAATACAGAGAAAGAGAAATATGCTAAAATGTGAATTGTGTAATTGATTAAAGTTGGGCACTAATAAATAGTATCTAAATGCACAGTTCCAAAACTGTGCATCTAGTCAACCTGAGCCCCACAGTGAACTCACAGGAATGCCATGGGCCATTTCACCAAGGACATACAAATGGCCAATAAGCCCATGAAAAGATGCTTGCATCATTAGGCAGTAAGGAATTGTAATTAAATCCACAATGAGACACCATTTAACACCCACTACAATAGCTGTTACAACTACAGGGGCAGACGAAAACTATGTCCTGACGAGGGTGTGGAGAAACTGGAAACTCACACATTCCTGATGGGACTGTAAGCCTGTGTACTTTGGGGAACAGTTTTTCAAAACAATTAAACATAAACTGCCACCAGTCAGAGAGCCCCTGCCATCCTCCCCAAGGTCTGTTGCTCCTTGATGCCATCCACACCTCCTGAATCTGCTTCCTGCTTTTTAAGCCTTTGATTGCCACTTATCCTTGGATTTTCCATTCAAATAAAACGAGAAAGTGCCATTGAGGAGAAGCAGCTACTGAAACAAGAGTATCTCCCAGTCTTCAAGTCAGGAGAGATGCTCACAATCATTTGAAGCAGAGGGTCCCTTAAGGACACACGTTTCCACTTCCTATTTGGACCTTGGTCTACAGGCCCCAGAGTGTGGAAGAACTTACACAGAAATTCCATAGAGAAAAGCAGGGACGGAGGAAGGGGAGGGCTTGTTAGCTTGTCCACTCAGAATGAAGAGACAAGAGCACAGAGCTATCAATTACAATCTGAAAAGGAATACTGCTCAAAAACGAGACTGCATAACCTCTGTGAAACTTTTTAAGCTTTGCAATTGTCCAGTGTTTGCTTATTTTTGCTATCCATGGTTTCCTTTCTGTGATTATACAAAATTGAAGATGTCTTAAAATCAAAGACAGTAAAAGGCTGCCATCTCCTGTTAGAGCCACAAATGCACTGGAACAAGAAGTCCTTCCCAGCGCCATCTGGTGGCAGGCTTCACTCACAGTTTTCATGCCAGGGAAGTAAATCCATGCAAATACTGCAGTGGTTCCTCATAGGCCAGCTATGGTGAGACATACAATGCATTATTGTTAACCAAGTCATGCTACGGTGCAATGGGGCGCTGGGACTCATTCCTCCCAATTGCAACTTTATCCTTGCTGACCAACCTCTCCTCACCACCTAGCCATCCCTGCCCTCCCCAGACTCTGGTAACCGCCATGCTACTCCCTACTTTTAAGATCAAGGAAAAATGGTTTAGGTATAAGTGACAAGGAAAATTCACAAAATAGCAGTTAAATTTTTGACTCTGTGAGAGATAAAATACAAGTCACACATCTACACATGTGTGTGTTCACAAGAGTCCAACATGCAGATGACTGTCACCTGCTCCATGTGCACTGTGCCACTTAATCCTAACACCTCTAGGTAGAGAGTGGCAGAGAGTTTAAAGGTTTAAGAGGTTAAGTAATTTACACAAAGTCACACAGCTAATGAATGATAATGAGTCATGGACATGGAAAAATTAAAAGTGCATGGTAGTAGAGCTGGGCCTGATCATATGACGGTGTCAGGAGACCCTCCCATTTCCTGGGTCCTTTGTAAACAGTCTTCTGCTTAAACCCCTCCTTGGCAATTTGGTCAAACCATGACACCTCATCCTCAATCTTACGCCCACTAGGGTGAGCCTCCCATGAAGCTATTGCACCAGTCACACGTCTTTTTGTTCGCCTGCAGCAAAGTCCTCTCTTGGGGCCAAGCCACAAGGTTCCTACATGTCCCTGCACATCTGGAAGGCTGGGAAGGGAGATGGATGGCAATGATAGTGGTTGTAGTAACAATGCATTCTTGCTGGGACATATCCTGGGCCAGACACTGTCTCCACAATCAGGAGGCACTGCAATTCCTCCATTGAGTGGACAAGGACACTGAGGGGTGGAAGGTGACGCCGTCTGCTCAGGATCACAGAGCTAGAAAGGCACAACTTTTATCTGCAGACCCCAGACCCCTGACTCAGCTGGCATGCCTGTGATAAAGTGAAAATGGGAAGTGATGTGGAGGGGGACTATCTCCAACAGGCCCCTTCAGCCACTGGGCAAGGCCTCCATGCCTTCCTTGAACCTGATGCAGAGGGAACAGAATTGAGAGGCTCATATGGAGGCTGATTGATGTGGGGGATATAGGAAGAGGGAGGAGACCATGGAGCAGACATCAATTTTCTTCTGGCTTAACTCATTTTGAATAGAAGCCAAGGGCCTGTGAGTTGAGAAGTTATATCCCTGGAGATTTGGTGTGAATTCCAAGACACAGGAGCTAGGCCAGATTCGCTGAGCAGATAGCAAGAAACAGGGACCATGTCCTCTAGCCCACACAAAATCCATTAAACCACATCTTCCACCAACGCCTGAGTGTGAACACCACACTCTGCAAGGCCTCTTCCTGATACATGAAACTAAACAGGCTGATGAGCGGATGTGAGGAAATGAGCTGTATTTTCATCTCTGCTATGGGGGTTCCACAGGTATAACTTGACTTACCAGAAGACCGTATTAAAAACTAGTATTTAGAAATTAACCAGAAATTAACTTGGGAGGTTAAGGCAGGAGTATTGCTTAAGCCCAGGAGGTGGAGGTTGCAGTGAGCTGAGATCACTCCACTACATTCCAGCCTGAACAACATAGCGAGACTCTGTCTCAAAGAAAAAAAAAGAAAAAAGAAAAAACTAAAATTCAGATTTTAAGGAGAAAAAAGCCTCTCTATTGAACTGAAATAGTGCTCTAGACTTATCCCATTTTCCTTCCCACTGGGGAAAGGGAAGGACTCTGCTTTAGAATAACCTGGGTGTCATTGGCAGGGCAGAGAAAGAAGTGGAGGTGATGCAGGCTGGCCTGGGGCACAATTGGTGGAGCTGGGCAATGGGCCAGAGATGGATTACACTGTTTCCTCGGCTCTTAGATGGCTTAAATAATTTCATAAGATAAGGTTTTCTTAAAATGTGAAGGCAAATTTCATTCATGAGTTATTAGTGTTTTTTTTCAGAGTAGAGGCCACACAGCCTGTCTAGGAGAAACCCCATGGACTTCACTTAAAACACACTCAGTTCTCCAGATTACTCAGAGAAGGAGGCTCTTGCACCCTCCTCTGACTGTGTGGCTCCTGTCCCAGGCACAGCTGCCATTAACAGAGGAGGGTCAACATTGCTAACGGTGTCGGTGCATCTGGGCTGAGCAGAAACAAGGAAGGGGAAGTTGTCCTCAGTATTCTATGTGGAAAGGATAGTCTTTGTGATTTTTAGTTCTGAAAAACAGAAAAATAAATCAAAAATTGAAACAAAGAGTGATTTTTTTTAAGAGAAACATTTTAAATGATATATACTTTTAACCTCCCCAGTGAAATTAGCTTCACTCAGTGGTCCATCTTCAAACAGAACAGAATTATAATGAGAAGGTTTCATTAATCTAAAATGTATATGATAAATACCTATTCAGGCATCAACTATCCAATCTGTATAGTTTTCCCTCTAGTTAAAAATAAGGAACCATATTTACATGGGGAACGTGGCCAGTCGGAGATTCCTGTCTAGGCTGAGGATGCTATCCATATTGTGCTGTGTTAATTCAAAATCAAACACCTGGAACCAAAATACAATGTTAATAGAAAACTTAATTCAATTCACATTTAATGGGGCACATGTTACCTACATAGCACTGTGCTAGACCAGCAGGGGACACAAAGACGTAAAAGAAACACTTCATCAGACAGCTGGAATTTCCCTGAATCACAGTCTGGATTTCCCAAATGCCTTTTGATTTGGATCATGTGACTGGTATTGGCTTGGTCCTGGCTACATTTAGGAAGCCTTGGAAAGATGGAATATATACTGCACTCATCTTAGTGGAGTAAAGAACATAGGAGAATAGTTAAAAGGTAAAGCACAGGATTTTTTTCCACTGACCCTGCTACCCTCAAAAAATCCAACAAAACCATTTGTTCCATACACCTGCCAACTAGGGAGCCACTTGGCCCTGGGACTATGAAGTCTAACAGTACCCATATCACAGAGTGACCTGTTTTTCTTCCTTGAGAACAGTATTCTGGCCCACCTCTCCCTCCCTTTTTATTGTTTCCACATACTGAGTAACAGGACCCATGGCCACAGCATCAGCGTCCACCCCAGCCTGGCAGAGTGACTGTCTCCCATGGGGAAGAGGAGTGCATTGAGTGATTCCCAGTGTGAGGAGCTGGAGTGCCCCTCTCTCACAAAAGCCTCCCCCCTTCCTGAGGCCAGGAGAAAGTAGCCTCAGAGTGTTATCTGGAGGGAGTGGAGATTGCTGGGGCCAGGGTAGGGGGATGCTTGCATTTAAGGGTAACAGTGAGCAATTCTAGAAGAGACTCTACAAAGGGCAGGTGCCTTGCAGCAGCAGTTCTGCATGGCACTAGGGCGATAGGAGGTGGGCTGGGCCAGCACCCTGCACTGGGAGCCCTGTGCCTGTGCACCTCTGTGCCTTTCTTCTCCTGGTCAGTCTTGTGGACCCAGCTCCCACCTCCTCCTGACAGCATGGACACTTCCACGGACCCTCTTAACCCGATGCTGCTCTCTGTCCTCAGCCATCAGATCACTTCTGCTTTGGCCCTCAGGTCTCACATCAGCCTGGTCCTGTCTCACTGCCTGGGGATGGCATTTGCCCTCAGTGTGCAGCAGACCTAACAGAGGAAGGGGGCATCTCAGCTGGGCCTGAGGTCCCTATGTCACATTCACTGCCCCTAGGCCATGGGGATCCCAGGCACTGACAGCCACAAGGGTGGAACTGGGGCCATCCCCCAAGCCTATGTCCCAGGAGCAATCCTGGCTGCCCTGCAGGGCACAGAGGGCACCTTAGGCCAGGCCCCCATGTGGAGCAGATGCCAGTCAGTCAGCAATGTTCAAATCTAATCACTGCATGAGACCTGCAGCCTCATTCCAAGAGGCCTGTCAGCAGCCATCACAGAGAACTGAGTTTATAGCTTAGCCAAATCCATACTCTTCAGGCTTTAGGTTGGCTGGTCACCCAGAGCTGCTCTGGGCCATTCAGAGAGCAGGATGCCTGAGGAAGGATGTGGGCAGCAGGTGAGCTGGATGAGGGCCCGGAAGGGAGAGCGCTGCGGACACCATGAGGAGCCTGCCCATCCCCAGGTCCTCCCATCATGGGTGGCCTGCCTCTCCTGCCAATGGCAGGGCTATGCCTACCTGCAGCCAGCCTGGCATACACAGCAAGCCTGAGGGCACAGGCACTGCTACAGATGGGTCAGTCAATAAATTTGATGGAAATGCTCACTTAGCACAACCAAATCAAGCCCTGAGGATGCAGCAGTGCCTTGTGGAACTCATAAGTAGCTCAGACACCAAGAGGGAGCTGACTCCTGGGCACCAGAGCATGTTGTCTATCAAAATGCAGCTGTGCAGCTGGCCCCAGGCTCACACACACCCATGCTGACATGGCCAGTGGTGAGCTGCCCCCGATGCTTGTCAATGCCTGTGAGATCACCACAGGTGACATCCGGGACTGGGGGTGACTGGCAAATAAGAGCATCAGGTACTTCCTCACGCCAGGCACTATGCCACCCCTTCACTGTGTCATTACATTTCACCCTCACAGTGGTCTTATCAGAGAGGTTCTCTAATGAAGAAATAAGGCTTAGAGAGGTCAGACAGCAGTTAAATGGTGAGTGGGCCTGTGGGAATCCCAAGTCCATGACTTTGACTGGGTTATAGGCTATGTCATCAGGGTTGAAGCCACACATAACTCCAAAAATAGATTTCACATGCTTCTGTGGGTCTTGGCTAAGGTGAAAGGGTTGCCCTGAAAAGGACCACTGCCTCTCTGTGTTCTGCACACACTCCACCTGTTCCAGTCTTCACTCCTGCCTCAGAAGTCACTAAACAGGAGTCGGGACCAGAACCCTCCCACACAACTCAAAGCAGTGCCCTCAGGCTACGCAGGCATGCCTCCATGCAATGGAGGTGGAGATCTGTCCACTGACTGCCTCCCCTTTCTCCTGAGCACACACTTAGGAGACATCCAGCCTCCTCTGTGGGCTGGCATAGCCATGTGACAGATGCACATGCCCAAGCCTGGTCCATAAAAGTCTTCTCCATGAGATGCTCTTCCTGCCTTCCCAATCTTGGGCTGGATGGAGAAGATACCAAGACCCTAGGGGAGAGGGGGCCCTAAGACGGAAGGACCCTGGGTCCTTGGATTGGTGAGTGAAAGGTCAACCACCAATACCCGCAGTGCAGAGGGAGAGGTCCCTGCTGATCCTGAGGCTGTATGCTACAGCAGTCATCCCTTCCCATCTAACACATGATCTGAAACCCTCTAACATAAAAGAAGGAAAACACCTACCTGGATATTCTCTTTAATCCGACTTGGGGTGATAGATTTGGGGATCACTATTACATTCCTCTGGATTTGAAATCGGATCAAAATCTGCAAGGAAACAAAAAGTCTGCTATCACTCAAAGGGAAATCCCATGTAGTCTAAGTTATTTTCTAACATTTTGAGTTTTAATGTACAGTAAGAGTCCAAGAGTCAATGACAGCCCCAACAGTTACTGGCATTTAACCAGTTCTGTCAGTATGTTGGTAATGATAGCCATCAGCCCAAGGAGGAGACCAAGGAATCTGCCTTAATGAGAATTCCTTAACATGCACCCAGCCCCCACTGGACATTAGAACAAAGACTAAAATAAATAGCTTTTCTGTTCCATCTCATACTAACCATGCATGCAGTCGGTGGGGCAGAGGGAAAAGGCCTGGAAACTCCTCTACTGAGTCTAGACAGGCTCCAAGGCAAGGGTACATGGTGTGAGTGACTGGGAATGCGATTGCAGATCAACTTCTGCTGCTCAGTGTTGGGAGGTTCTGATGAGTCATGGACTCATTTGGGTGAGCCAGTCCCTTCCTGGGACCTGCCAAACCCCAGGACTCCCCAAGGATGTGGAGTGGTCAGAGCACTCCTGGCTCAGAACAGCCCTCGCTGAGTACCTGAGCGGGAGACTTGTTGTGCTCCTTGGCAATCCTCTGGATCACAGGATCGTCCATCAGGTCAACTCCCTCACTAGAGAGACACAGCACAGGGCAGTGAGCCAGGAGATCCGACATGGATGCCCCTTTCTTTAGAAAGGAGAAAGCTTTCTCCAAAATGAAGGATTTATTTTCTCATCATGACACAAGCTGACTATAGGAAATTTTAAAACACAAAAAAGCACATCACTCCAAATTTCCAGTCTGGAGATGACCACTGCTAATACGTTGGTGAACACAGCTACATGACATCACTTTTCATGTGTATTTTGTGCTTTTCCTCAAGAACCTGGTGGCCACATCAGTGCACGAGCCAGTGGGCTCCCAAGTTTTAACTCCCCCACGACTCTCAGGGGTCTCTGGCTTCTCAGCTTCTACTGTATGCCCTAGCACAGCACTAGGAATCAATATTTGTTGATGATAATAATTTCAGAAAAATTCACCCAAAATACCACTAAAAAGTGAATATTGTGAACATGTGAAACCTTTACTACAAGTGATTTTGAAGATGATCATAGTCTCTGCATCCTTTGTTCAGGCATGGGTGGTCCCTGGGAACTTCGAGGATTCGCTGCTTTAACAAGTGCGTACTGAGCCATCACCCTGTCAGGCATTGTGCTAGTACTAGTCCCCAAGGTCTCCTGAAGGAAGCAAACAGAGTGCACAGTTTCCTGCCCCAGTCCGTCTTTGAGACCTCCCTGACTCACTCCATCGGAGGATCCTCTACCCCGAAGCTCAGCTGTGGAATGGACCCAGCCTTCTAGGGACTCTCCAGCTGGTGGCAAGTTCAAACACACATGCACCACTTCACAAGGAAAACACACAGGTGGTAAAACTCAAGGAATTCAGCCTTTTTGGCATTCCCAATTTGTCCCAGGTGCTGAGCTAGGAGCTGGGAAGAGAATAAACAAGATACCTCCACCACTCAGGTTGTTTTGACTAGTGGAAGAGACTGTGAAGAAAATCACAAGACAGCGTGACAAGGGGTATGTAAGAAACATAAATAAGGGGTCAGGAGGGCTTCCTGGAGGAGGTGATACTGGACTGAACCTTAAATTAGAAACTGGAGTTTGCCAGATTAAAAAAATATTGTGGATAAAGAGAACAGTATCTGCAAAGGCACAGAGGTGAGAAAACATGTTTTATCCAAGGAACCACAGCAGCTTCATGTGGCTGATGCCCAGGATGTGGACAGGGATGGGTAGGAATGAGGCCAGAAGCAGGCAGTGGTCAGGTTGGCTATGTCTCACAGGCCACACCAAGACCTGAAGAATTTTTCCCAGGAAAGTGACATGATCATAAGGAGACAGCTCCTTTCAGCCACCCTGGGAGCAATGGATTAGAATGGAGTGGGTTAGGGAGGCAGCTGAAGGGCTTCTCTAATGACCTTGGGAATTGTACTTAATTAAGGCAGTGACAGAGATGGCAGAAATGAAATCATGAGACAAAGTCTAACTTCTCCTGGCAGAATAATCAATATCAATAGACTCTGGTGCTGGATTGGATTAGGGATGTGGGAAGGGATGATTTCCAAGATTCTGGCTTAGGTAGCTGAATGGCTGGAGGCCCCTTAGCTGATCTAGACAGCACAGGACAGTTGCAGGGCCTGGGTAAAGATGACAGCAGGCTTTGCCTCATCCAACCACTGAGAGGCCTGAGGAGCATCCTTGTCGAGATGTCAGATGACTGATGCCCTGATGGGGAACTCAGCAAAGGGGTTGCTCCAGGCTAGTTTATGTCCCTGAAGAGGTCCTGCCCCTTCCAGGGCAGCCCACTTACAGCCACTCCCCGCCTTCCAGTAATAAGCCCTGCTTTCAATCCAAGGCTTGAGAGGTGTGGACAGCCCTCTATGGTCCCGTCCCTCCACACCCTGTCAAAACCTCCATTAAGGCCTCCCCAAATCATCCCAAGGAAATGAGAAGGTGGCATCTACTTCCCACTCGGCCTCTGACTAACATGTCACTGATGTATCCTTACCTCGAGCCACCAAGAGGACGGTAAGCAGTCACAGACACACCTCTGGATTGACAAAAACTGATCAGATTCTTCTGATTAAGGTATGGGTGGCACTCAATCTACAACAGAATCACAGCTTACATAAAATTCAGACCACTAGTGTCCTAGAAAAGCTCTACAGCAGAAGACCTCCGCTGAAGTCTTGGCTGTCACTGAGGACCATGGGGCCCATCTCCAGGCCTGAGTGTTTCTGCTGTGAGAAGCCTGGACAGAGCAGTCTCCAAGAGGCCAGCTGCTATCATGGTTTCTGAGTCTATGGCCTCGGGGACACCTAAATTGTCTGAGTGCTCCAATACCACCTGCTCTGCAGGGCCTTCCGTGAGCACTCAGGTAAAGACTGTAACACTCCACAGCTCCCATCTCCCCACGGCCTTTATCTTCCTCCACAGCACTAACTGACAGCTCATAGATTTTACATATTTGCTTATTGTCTTTCTGTTTTCATCAGGATCTAGGCCTCATGAAGACAGAGATTTTGTTTGAATTTTTTTTTCTTTATGGATGTCTTGCCAACACTAAGAACAACCCATACACATAGAAAGCAATAAAAATATATCCATTGCATGAATGAATTAAACAGAAAAACTGCATGTGAGAAATACATGCTGCAGGTGACTTGAATGAATATTTTAAGAAGCCAGAGAGCAGGACCACTGTCTCTTGCACATTCTCCAAACTCTTATATATAATTCCAGGTTATAAGGAGATTTAAAATACTTATTTAGTGTAAATTACAGAGAACTATGAACAGTGCTTTCACTCTCAGGAACATGCAAAGCTCATCAAGATCAGCCTCTCTGGAAAGCCTCCAAAAGAGAGGCCAGCTTCTGGCACCTTCTGAATCCTGTGTTCCTGGGTATCCATCATCCTATCAAAAAGCAGACCCTCTACTCGTCCAACCCACCTTGTCTACTCAGACTATGCCATAACCATTCCCAGGTATTTAAATTGCTAAACAACTAAAAATACTGACACAAAACAGAAGCTACTATGCATACACACATATATAAAAACTTAACGTATATAAGGTTGTATATAAGCAAAGCTGAACTGTATTAGTTGGGTCAGAAGCCAGGTTGCTCTTCATGGCAGCGACTACGACAGGCCCCAGAGGAGCCACTGAATGGCTGAGGGTTTTTTCTTGTTTTGTATACTGAATAGTTGAGTTTGTTCACTTGCAAAAATTCATCAAGCTATGTATGCCTTTTGTGATTCACACACTTTTCTGCATCTATGCTATACAGAACTGTTTAAAAAAGCATATTTATTGAAAAAAATAGAGAGTGATGCTCTATTCTTAATAGTCCCAAACTGGAAACTGTCCAAGTGCCCACTAACACACTAACAGCAGAGTGGATAACTCAATTGTGGTCAATTCACGCAACAGAATACCACAATAAATAAGAGAGCACCATCTACAATCACATGCACAGAAACAGTGCTGTGTGAAAGAGGCGAGCACAGAGGCGTTTATGATGCATTATTATTTTATCTGTGTAAAGTTCAGAAGCAAATCCTGGCTGCTGGGAATGAGAACGATGCTTTGCTCTGCAGGGCAGGAGTTGCAGGGGTGCTAGGTGTGCTGTTTACCAAGCTAGATGCTGGTCCTAGAGCTATGCTCAGTTTATGAGAATTTATTCAGCTCAACTTTTACGTGTGTACTTCTACTCTTCAATAAAAAGCTTAAGTACTGTATAAATGATCTTTATACAGTTTGTATCACTTATACATATAAATGATATAAAGCCAGTCCAGAAAATACAATGGTTCTTTCCCCACAAGTCTTTTCTCTACATTAAAAACCTGCATCAGCTTCAGTAGCCTGTAAGCCTGGCATGAGGGCATCTGGCCATCCATGCTTTCTTACTGCAGTTTGCAGGCTAGGAAGAGATGGAGGGGAGACCCATGTTCCCTAATGGGGGTGAGGCACCTGCCAGGACCCTGACCACTTCTGAGCACACTGGTGACCTGCCCGCATCGCACACGGAGGGCCAAGTGCCAGCTCACACCCTGCCTGCTAACAGTACCACCTACCCAGACGCACCTTTGAGAAAGCCATTTGGCTAGCTGCTGCCTTTAGTTACCATTCTGACTGCTGTCAGAGAAGAAGACGCCTGTTTTGTGCTTCACCCCATCCTCCCATCTCCAGAAGAGCCCTGTGGAGGTAGCAGCTGGGAAGCCAGCCACATAGGTTAAACTCTCTGATGCTTCCACCGGTTTACCTGGTTGGTTACTGGTTTGAACCTCAACCCAGGCTTATTGAGAAGCCTGTCAAGCTGCTCATGGTTGAAGTTTGACACCCCAATGTTCTTCACCAGTCCAGTGCTCACCAGGTCTTCCATGGCCTGTAAGAGAACAACAACTCCGCTGAGTGTGAAGGTTCTGTCTATTGAACTGACAATCCATGTCCCTCAGCAGTTCGGTACGGTATTCTACAACTGGTTCCACCCAATATTTTACCTCAAGCTTCAGAAGCATTTCTGCACTCAAGGTATGATCCCAGTCCCATCTTTCCTGGCTAGGGGATGCTGGGAAAGTTGCATGGCCTCATTTGGCCCCAGTTTCCTCAGCTTCAGGATAGGGCAACCCTGCCTGTGCCACAGGGCTATGTAGGGGTTATGTGGAATCGCAGAAAACGTTAGCTAAGACTGGCGTCCACCACTCTACACAGGTGAGCTCTTCCTGTTCTTATTCCTCCTGATGTCTGCTGCGGATTTTATTTGTTCACCTTTCTTTCCACTAAGACTCTGATCTTAAGCACACGGATGCATTATCATTCTCCTAACCCACCCTCTGTACCTACCATTTTAAGGAACTTGAGGGCAGAGTAACCTAAAGCTCTGAGTTGGTCAATGACCAGCAAGCCAGGCTGCCCCTGAGCTTCAGGAAGAGGATGGCTTTGTGCCAGGGTCCGTGGTCAGCAGCAAGTCCTGAGTGACCAATGAGCCAACATGCGGCGGTTGAGTTACTGCCTCAACTGCAACAATCACTGGCCCCTCACTGGTGCTACATGAACCTTAGAGTTTAACCCAAATCTTTTAGGAGATAAAACTGTGTAACAGAAAGGGTTGACGCCCATGGGCCCTGGTCCTGACATCTCAGATCCCTTAGTCAGTCTTTGTCTTCTGCTGATGGGGGTCCTAGCCTGGGACTCCTCTGTGTTCAAGGGGTCCCTCTGGCCTCCTCCCTGGAGAGCTTCACCCAGCAAGCTCTGTTCTAAACTTAGCAAGCTTAAGCTTGAACTCACTTTCTTCGTGGGCCTCAAATATGATGTCCCATCCTACATGCTGGTTACCAAAACCATATGGCCATACATGCTCGGTCAGCCATGCTGGAGTCGAAGCCTAAGCCTCACATCAGCCTGTGGGTCTACTTCCAAAAGCCTCTCAAATCCACCACATCCTTAATTCCCTGCTCAAGACTTTACTGCAAGCCCTTGCAGTAAAGGGCTGTTTTTAGTCTGAACCCTGGAAACGGGCAGACACTTGGTAAGCCTCCTCACACTGGTCTTACCTCCCCAGCCTGAGCTTCCATGCTGCCAACTTTATCACTCTGAAATGCTTAAGAGAGAATAAAAAGGAACTGTAAAACATTAATGGTGGTACCAATGGGTGACGGGAAAATAAATTTTTTAATGTCAGTTTAATACGGAAGAACTCTCCTGTGTTTTCTGAAATAAATGTGTTTTTTTAATTAAAAAACTATTTGAGAAAAAAGAAAGTGATATCTGTAATGAGCTATCCCTCAAATAAAGTGGCAAGAGAGCTGCACCACACCAAACCAAAGGTAACAAGAAAGTCACTGAGGTGTCTGAGTTCTTCAGGTATTGATTCCTCATTTGTACCGCAAACCCCACATCTCAGGTAGACAACCTCGATGTCTTTGAACACAAGCAGCTCACTGCATCCTGGATGGAGACCCACCCAAGATGAGGCTGCCTGGTGGTGTGGCTCAGCTTACCTCCCACGTGTCTAGGAAGTCTGTGTCACTGGGGATGACCATGTCAGTGCAGTCCAGAGGCAAGTCGTATACTCCAGGATGTGAGAAGCAGAAGGAAAGGAGCTTACTGGGAATCATGATCCAGGCTGGATGAGGAGGCTGCAAAGAAGGAGAGTTGAGAAGTATGAAAAAAAATACTCCATGTATCAGGAGACCTGCATCCAAGCCACGGCCCTGTCGCTAAGCAACCCCAGCCTGGCCATATGACCAGGCCCAGCCTTCACCTTTCTAGGAAAAGATCAAGGGCTCATGAACTGGGTGGCTAGCAAAACCTCCACCAGCCTGATGTTCACTGTCCATCTCTCACAAGATGGGAAAGGAAGACCTTGCATCCTCACTGATGCAAGGTCATTCTCTTTCATCGCCTCCAGAAAACAGTTTACTAATTTCAGGTAAAGAATGGGAGGGGAGTGCATTTTCTTCATGTCTTATAGGGCCCAAGCAGCCCTCTCCTAACTCCACTGATAGGGTCTTGTCTTCTTTTCTTAGAATCCCCATCATCATGAGAGGTAAGGAAGTGAGAATACAAAGGTGCACAGGAGGTGGAGGGCAGAGAGACACCTTGAAAAGGCGAGAACCTCTAGTCACCTTTCAGAGAAGCTAGGGGCATGGATGTGCAATCCAGCTACCTCCCTCACGCAGCCCTACACAGGGTGTTAAGGGTGAATGGCACGGGCATGTTTATTTAAGGACACCTAATCATATTCCTAAGCAACAGTGGAAGAATGTCACATGTTCCAGCCTAATCCACATGAAAGAGGCATTTTCTATGATGAGCTGAAGTAACTAACAGTCTCGCTTTAAAGCCATATCCCATGTTGACATTTATCCAAGGGTCCACAAAAATGCTGCCTAGGCCTCATACTCGGACCCTGATCTAATCGTCCAGCATCATACCAGGCCTAGCAGTTCCCACTAGCCAGAAGACATGCTGATGCTGCTGCATTACCCTTTTCTGTAATTTGTTTTGTGATCTGAGACCTTCTCCTTTTCTCCCATCCAGAAATCGAAAGACAGGGATCTGCTAAAGGATGAGGGTAGCAAAGTGTAAGAAACGTCTGACTTGAGCATATGCTTCTGGGCTCCAATAATATAACTTCAACATGAAACTTTCTGTGTCTTAGTTTCATCATCTGTCCAAGAGGGATATTAGCAGTGTCAACTCTGTAGAACGGTCATGAGAATTAAAGGAGTTACTATGTGTAAAGCACCTAAAACAGTGCTAGATACATAATTAAAACAATGCTGGCTGGCAATGAGTACAGTATCGCTATAGCCATTGTTTTAATCATGACTTCCTGTATGCGATGAATTTCAGAGACATAGATATCATTCAGAATCACCCCTCTGGTTTTGCCCTCTGGGTATCTTCCACTCCTGGTCAGTGTGAGTAATGGATGGCTGCCCATATCATCTATGGAAACTGGATCCAAAGGCTTGGTTAAGAAAAGCTGTGCTAGGAAGGAAGTGGTTTTTGTTATTTCACTCTGAACCAGTAACCAACAGTGTGGCACACACAAAGGGATCCTCTCACAGATGGCCATGTGGAATACCCCTGAGCACCAGTCACCCACTCCAGTGTAGGGAGAACATCCCTGCAAGGGCTTCTGTATCTCACAGGTGTTACCTGTGTGATCAGGCCCTTGCCCAGGCAGGCTGTCATCATGGTCCAGGGCAAATGTGCAGGGACATCCTGGCCAGGACCTGTGTGAGAAGCAGGTTGCCTGGAGTAGGGAAGCTGCATGGCCAGACCGGGGTAGCTGAGTGACAAAGCCATGGTTCAGATGCATGTTCCAGACATACCGTGACGCAATTTAGAGAATAAAACCAAGTGGAAAAGCCAACTACCACCATAACCCACTGGACCCTGCTGCAGGTGAATAAGCACATATTGTCCATATTGCAAAACAGCATTCACTCCCCAGAGGACAGAACATGCAACCAGAGACAAGGCCTAGGACTTCACTGGAAACTGTCTGAGAAGCAGTATTTCTTCATCTGATCTCTGCTTTCACCTAAAGACTGAAGAGAAAAAACCTGTTGCTCTCTTGGCCTGGAGGAAAAGTGACTGGCTTGAAAGAACTGTGGAGGCCTCAGAGATCTTCCAAGCCAAGCCTCTCCTTAACTAAGACCCCCAGATATCAAGAGGCCTGACCAAAGGCTGCAGCTAGCATGTGGCAGATGCAGCCCTGGAACCCTGGCCCTGACTCCCCACTGCAAGACGGGGTATGACCACAGGGAGGAAAGTCCTGCAAACCCGGGAACGAACCACCTACTGAACAGTACCTTGAAACCCATGGGCCAATGCATGAGGTAGAGGTCCAAATATTTGAGCTTCAAGGACTTCAGACTCCTGCAGCATGCTGTTCTCACCAAGGGCTTCGTGTGCCAGGTGCACCACAGCTACAAAGGAGAGGGGACCAGTGTCACATACGCCCACCCAGAGCCAGCACGGCACCCATTCGGTAGCCCCATGAAGCTACGGTGTTGGACCAAAAACAGCCAAGATGAGATGACCACAAATACAACACAGCACGTTCTGACAGAAGGACAGGGTCATTATCCTCAGAAGAGTTCCAGGACACCTGCAGGGAGAGGCTCCAAAGCTGGGCTTCTTCAGCCTGACTCCTCTTCAAGTGAAGCTCAGGATGCCAAGAGATATTTGATGGTTATTTGGATCCACTGGGACCAAAAAAAAAAAAAAAAAAAAAGAAAGAAAGAAAATGAAATTCCTTCATGCAGAAAATATATGACAAAAAAATCAGAAAAATCTCTACCTTGTTTTTCTCACTTACACATACTCCATATTAAGGGTTCTCTGTTTGTCAGGCACTGTAACAGTACAGGTTAACCCAGGAGAGTTAGCTCACACTGCCTTACTTCTTTTAGCTATTTTCCCCCACAGTCCCATTTAGTAGAAAAACTTGTTTTTTTCCCCTATTTCCTTCATTATACTTTTTTGACTGTGATAGAAGCTAACCTGAAGGCTCCATCACAGCAAGGGAAAAACAAAAATGATAAGTTAAATGAAAGTAAAAGAAAGGGGAGTAAAATAAATGAAAACAAACGAGCACAGCATATTAACAAAAATAAAAAATAAACACCAGAAGTAAATGCATTCCATTGTTAATCACAGTTGTCTCTATGTGGTGTGTATATGTATGATTTATTTATTTGATTATATTTCTATGACTTTTTCAAATGTCCAAAATAATGAACATATTTCCACTGCTGACTACGATCCACACAGAAGCAACTTGCTCCAAATTGCAGGGCAAGCCTTAGAAATCTCCAGTTACTCACATCCCTACCTGGACTATTCTCCCTGGTTGGGCAAGCACACACCAAGCCTTCTCTCTTACCACTCTCTGCTCTAGCACAGATAGGAATGGTAACTGATGAACATTTACTTCCATGAAGTAAAACAGAAGGCAATTCAACTATAGAAATAACATTGAGCCTTGGGGTTTGAAATTTTAACTGGGAAGTTACTCAGGAAATTCTCAAATCCAGAGTCTCATTTTACAAATAATGAAGCTGTGAGCCTCAGCCATCCAATCCCTAATACCCACAGCTCCTGACATGGCACAGCTGAACTTCCATGGCCTACCCCATCCACCACTCAGTCTCACTTCTTGTTACTCCTGCAGCCTGACATCCTGTAGTCCTGGAAGACCAAGTAGTTTGGTTTGGCTGTGTCCCCAAATCTCATCTTGAATTGTAGCTTCCACAATCCCTACATGTCGTGGGAGGAACCCAGTGGGAGGTAACTGAATCATGGGAGCAGGTTTTTCTGGTGCTGTTCTGGTGACAGTGAACAAGTCTCATGAGACCTAATGGTTTTATAAAGGGCAGTTTGCCTACCCATGCTCTCTTGTGTGCTACCATGTTAAGATGTGCCTTTGTTCCTCCTTCGCCTTCTGCTATGATTGAGGCCTCCCAAGCCACGTGAAGCTGAGTCCATTAAACCTCTTTATCTTTATAAACTACCCAGTCTCAGGTAAGTCCCTATAGCAGCATGAGAATGGCTAATACACCAAGCTCCTTAAAAACCCCTGCACCTGTCATACTGCTTCATGTCTTATGCCTGTGCTCAAGCTGCTGCCTCCATCTGCATCACATCCAGAGTTTCTCATTCAACAGATGAGGGATAGAATTTGGAATCTGTATTTAACAATCACCCCAGTAATTCTGAGTTTAGGAATTGCTGTGTAGACAGAGTTCGTGAAGGCAATGACTTTGTCCTACTCACCACTGTAGCCAAAGTGCCCCTCGCTCAATGAATTTGAAGAATATATTGTTAATTGGGGCTTATTGGTACACTCCCACCTGAATGACCAAGTAAATAATATGAAACAAATCTGTACACAATATAATTCAGCATGCTCGTGAAGCTGTGAATATTCTTGTTTATTCTGATTTCAGTGTGAAACAGAGTCATCAACTCCCATAAGGAAAGTGGAAAGCCCTTCAGAGATGTAGCATTACTCAAGCTCTGCTGGCTTTGCACAGAGCAGCCCTACCTTACTGGCAATGAACAGATCCTCCCGTCTCACAACACCTTCCTGGATCTTGTAACGGATCCCTGCTCCAACCTCATGCTCATTGTGATATAAGTAAGCACAGTCAAAGTGCCGGTAGCCTGCGTCAATGGCCACCTTCACCGCCTCAGTCACTTTCCCCGGAGCGGCCTGCAAAACCAACAAAACAAACTGTCTTCCCACAGTCAGAAGAATACAACACAATTCTCCCCTTTCACCCAAGCATGAGGAGTAAATAATACATAAAAAATTAAGCCATTGATTTGGTACTAATGTAATCAGTCTAAAAACAGATAATGGGGCCGGGTGCAGTGGCTCAAGCCTGTAATCCCAGCACTTTGGGAGGCCGAGGTGTGTGGATCACGAGGTCAAGAGATCGAGACCATCCTGGTCAACATGGTGAAACCCCATCTCTACTAAAAATACATAAAATTAGCTGGGCATGGTGGTGCATGCCTGTAACCCCAGCTACTCAGGAGGCTGAGGCAGGAGAATTGCCTGAACCCAGGAGGCGGAGGTTGCGGTGAGGCAAGATCACGTCATTGCACTCCAGCCTGGGTAACAAGAGCGAAACTTCGTCTCAAAACAAACAAACAAACAAAAAAACCAAAACACAGATAATGTCAGAGTTACAAAGGAATTTATAAATAAGTTCCAACTCCTTTACATATTTTGGGAAAAAAACTATAGGTAATTTTTGGTGTCTTCAGAAAACTGAGCTAGATGGTGTGTTTCCTGAATGATCAAAGCAATAAAAAAGTGTAGAATGAATAATAATAACTGAGATGCAAAGAGGTTTAAGACTCATCCTATACCCTCAGAGACCATAGCGTCCAGTAATAAAGGGGAAGAGGTATAGACTCACATGAAGGTATCATCACAAAAAGCACATAACAAACTCCAAACGAATGTATGATGCTATAAGCAATAAGGCAGTTCAGGAAAGAGAACAGTCACTCCAAATGCAGCTCAGGCAAGGGAAGGGATGAGAACTAGGGAAGACCATGGGGCTGGGCGGGCTTTGCAATCTCATTAAACTCAAGACTGACAAGTGCTTTATAGTTCACAAAACACTTTCTCACTGGAGGTTCACAGTAACCCCAGGAGTTAGAGCAGCATCATTATCTTCATTTTATAGGCAACAGATCCAGAGTGGTTGAAAGCAAATGAACCAAGTATCCATCTTAAGTTAGAAAAAGAACCCAAGAAATTGGATGGAAAGATTAAAAACATGATTAAGAATAACATCAATAAAATAGAAAACAAAGATGTAACAGAGAAGATTAATAAAGCTAGAAGTTGGTTTTCTGAAAAACTTCAGTAAAATAAACACACTTCTGGCTAGGCTGATAAAGAAACAGATTTTTTTTTTTTTTTTTTTAAACTGACATGAATGAAAAGTAAAACATGCAGATAAAATGGACTTAAAAGAAAATATTATCAATAACTATATGTCAATAATTTGGAAAAATGAGATAAAATGGAAAAATTCCTAGAAAAACTTAACTCAAGAATAAAGCCCAAATAGTTACATAATTATTAAAGAAATGAAGCAATTAGAAAAAAAAACTACTAGAGTTTCATAAAATTTTCAAGAAAAAAAATCCCAGTTTAACACAAACTTTCAAACAGTAGAAAAAGATGGACTTGTCTCAACTCATTCTACAAACCCAGCACAATCCTGAAATCAAAATCAGACAAAAATATTAAAAGGAAAGTTACACACTCATCTTATTCATGAATACAGTTGCAAAAATCCTAACTAAAATGAAAGCAAACTGGATGCAACAATATTTATGAAAAGATAATACGCCACACCCATGTTGAGTTTATCTCAGATATCTAAGGATGATTTGATATTAGAAAATCCAAAATTTATCAATATTAACAGATTAAAATACAAAAACAAAAGTCATCTCAATCAATATTTGTTAAGATTCAACACCAGTTTAGATTCAAAATCTAAACTCCTGGTAAGTTAGGGAAAAAAGAATTAATCTGATAAAGAATATCAATATTAAAAAGAAACCATTCAGGTAAACACCTTCCAGCATCATCCTACATCCTTTAAAATCAGGTACAAAACAAGAATAGCCACTGTGTTGGAGGCACTTAAATAAAAAGAAGCAATGTGAAGCTTAAAGATTGAAAAAAAAGGAAAGTAAACTGCCATTATTTGCTGATGATATGATCATTTGTGTAGAAAATCCAAAGGAATGTATAGGCAAATTAACAGAAATAATAGTACAGTTTAGTAAAGTGGCTGGAAGTGTAATGAATATACCAAGTGAAACAAAGAGAAAATGTAATTTCAGAAAAATATAATTTCCAGTAGTATCACAGACTATCAAGAACCCAAGAATAATTCCAACAAAAGATATATATATTCTCTTCAGAAAAAACTATATAACCATAAAAAACGTTACAAATGAACCATATTTAGGACAATTTATTAACAGAGAAGATTACCATGGTTGTGGAAAAGTTAGATTTAATATTACAAAGATGTCAATGATCTCCAAGCTGGTCTACAGATTTAATGTAGTTCCAATCAAAACACCAATAAAGTTTCTCATGGAATTCATAAGCTAATTCTAAAACTTACAGTGGAAAATAAGCAGCCAAAATAAAAAGCCAGGACCTGGGTACATGCATCTGTCAAAACTTAACAAATTGTACACTGTAAATATACAAGAGCAGAAAGATGTGACTTGCCCTACTAGACATGGGGGCTTATCAAGAAACTGTAGTAATTAAGACAGTGCCAAACAGGCACGCAGATGAATCAAGTGGCCACAAATAAAGCAGAGCCTGGCTGGGTGCAGTGGGTCACGCCTGTAATCCCAGCACTTTGGGAGGATGAGGCGGGCAGATCACGAGGTCAAGAGATCGAGACCATCCTGGCCAACATGGTGAAACCCCGTCTCTACTAAAAATACAGAAATTAGCCTGGCGTGGTGGCATGCGCCTGTGGTCCTAGCTACTTGGGAGGCTGAGGCAGAAGAATCGCTTGAACCCAGGAGGTGGAGGTAAGAGTGAGCTGAGATTGTGCCACTGCACTCCAGTCTGGTGACAGAGCAAGACTCCATTTCAAAAAAAAAAAAAAAAAAGCAGAGCCCAGGCTGAGGCCTCCAGACATCTTATGGCTTCTCTTGCTCTCTTGTGCTTCAGCCATGCTCTTGAGAACACTGCCTAACTAGCTGCATGAAGACGGGAGGTGTGTGGAGCCAAGTGGAGTAGCCCCTACCATCCTAAATGAGACAAGCCAATCCCCAGGCAAGTGAGGGAGCCAGCCAAGATCCACAGAGCTGCTCTGCTGACCTCCCGTGCAGGAGTAATACACTTGCTGCTGTATACCAATGAGCTCTGGTGTTTGGCCACTGATGCAGCATTTCTGGGACAACAGATAACTGATGATAGGTCTGTGATGTTCATTCACTACCAAAAATAGCCAAGTAAAAATAAGTCTTTGCATAGAACCAGTGATGAGCGATTATGATTAATCCAATTTGATGCACTTGCAGTACTCCCCCACCAAAAAAATACAATATTTTGACCTCTTAAGCACAATTTTCACTAATTTTTCCTTATCCTGTGTGCACGAGTCTGGACTCCTGCACCGAATTGTTGCAGAAGACAGGGAAGCAAGAGACTCAACAGTTTAATCTATCGAGTGCTATAATGAATGGCTGCCAGATGCACATCCTTTACCAGACGCTGAGAACCAATATGAACAAAGGGACACTTCTGACCTCTAAAAGTTGGTAAGCAGGTAGGAGAAATAATTTAAATATTTGATGAGCAGGACTTAAACATTCCATTTCTGACTCCTTCTGTAACTAACTTTCTATGTGACTTCTTATTTTTTTAAAAAAGTATTTTTCCCTTTTTTTTTTTTTTTTTTTTTTTTTAGATCAAATTTTAAACACTTTTAGTCAGTGTTGTGTCTCAAATCACTGACAGGAATCGTAAAGTTCAAAGTAGAGAAAAGTCATAGAGTAGAAGGGTGGTTATCAGAGCCTGCCGGTTGGGAGGAGGGTGAGGAAGAAGGGAACGGGAAGTTGCAGATCAAAGGATATAAAGTTTCAGACACACAGGAGACATAGCTTTTGAGATTTACTGCACACTAGGATGCTTACAGTCAACAATAATTTATTACAAACATGTATTTCAAAACAAGGCAATACATTCCAAACATCTCACCACAAACAACTGAAAGAGGTGCTGGATATGTTAATTAGCTTGATTTAACCACACTGCATTGTATACGCATCTCAAAACATCACAGTACACCCCATAAATGCACAGAGCGATGATAGGTCCTTTCTCTCAGGCATCCGGGCGGTCTGCTTCTAAACAGGGAAAAACATGAGGTCCCAAAGTTTCCTTGAAAGCCTAGTCAGCAATTCCAATCTTCCTTTTAAATTTTTTGTTTGGGTTTTGTTAGTTGTTGTTTTCGAGCAGGGTCTGGCTCTGTCCCCCAGGCTGCAATGCAGTGGCGCCATCGAAGCTCACTGCAGCCTTGACTTCCTGGGCTCCAGCGATCCTCCCACCTCAGCCTCCCGAGTAGCTGGGACCACATGCGCGCACCCCCATGCCCAGCTAGTTTCTTTTCTTTTTTTTGTATAAACAGGGTTTCGCCAGGTTGATCTGGCTGGTCTTGAACCCCCGAGCTCAGGCGATACTACGGCCTCGGCCTCCCAACGTGCTGGGATTACAAGCCCACACCGCGCGCCCGGCCCCAACTTTTCTTTCTCACTGCTGGAGAGGAGGCTTCGAGGTCCCTGCTCAGGCCGAGTCCAGCGCCGCCGCCTCCCCTCAGCCTCCCTGCTCCATTTCTGAGTCACTACGAGGGCTCGGCCTCCCCACCCAACGCCGCCGCTACGGCCCCAGTGTCAGAGGTGCCGCTGGCGAGGTCCCCGCGACTCACAGAGGCCGCCTCTGCGGGCAACGCCGCCTCCGTTTTAGGAAAGGCTGGGCCAGGCTGCGTGTGGGCGGCGGGCGTCCACCTCAGCAGCACCTGCCCGGGCGCCGGGCAGGCCGAGGGGAGGCCGCACTTTTCCCCCGCCCCGGCCTGGGCCCCACTGGGCGCCCCCAAGCCCCAGGCTCCCCTACGTCAGCCGCGCCTCCCAGCCCGCGACCGCGTCACCTTCCAGGTGCCCAGGCCCACGGCTGGGATATCTCCCATGGCCGCCGCCGCCGCCGCCGCCCCGCGCGCGAGTTACCACAGCGCTGGCGACGGCACGAACGCCGGGCTTCCTCACTGGCTGCTGGCTTCGCGTGGCGGGCACTCTGATTGGCTGGTTTTATTAAAGACAGGCATCCTGATTGGCTGAAGGCACAGAGCCAGCGGGAGTCCCAAATGGCTAGAGGCACTCACTCTGGACATTCTGATTGGCTGCGGGGGCGCGGACGACGGACTTCCAATTGGCTTGCAGAGCCACGCAGGGGCGGGGAGGGTTTTCCAGTTGACTGGCAGTGCCGCTCCGGTCCCCGTAGGCCGGGCCTCCTGGGTGCCTTCTCCCTCACACAGGGTGCACACGCAACTGAGGTAGGCAGAAGTGTTAGTCTGGTGGGCAGGGGTTCCTCACCTTTCCTGGGGGTCTCCATGGCGGGGCCATCCTAGGACAAGCTCTAGGGTCACGGTGCGGAGTCCTGCGTTCCCTGGACCACAGGGCGCGGGAGTGGGCCCCGCTTTCTTGCACCAAGGATGGCCTTTCTCGGGTGCCCTGAGGCCCCCAGCCTGGGAGAAGTTTGCCTGGCTTTGGTTCCCCGTCAGGGACCTACTGTGCCCTTGGAAAAGGCCTTCCACACTTTGGGGTCCTTCCCGGCTCGGAGCAGCTGGGGCTTGCAGGAGTGCGGGGGTCCTGGTGGTGCGGGGAGGCCGAGCCCCGCATGAGGAGGGGAGCGTCCTTGCTGCAGCCTCAGGCCCTCATTTGGAAGCGGGTGGGGTGGACGGGACACCACGCTTTTGAGTGGACTGGGCTCTCCTGGGGACAGTGGAGGGAAAGGGGTCAAGGGAGCCTTCCGACACCCCTCTTATCTCCCCTGGAGCTTGCAGCTCCCCTTTGTTGCCCACCCCCCCCCCCAGCCCTGGGAGTCCCACTGCCTTGAGGACACCCACACCCAGGTGAGGGCTTGTTTCTGGGTTCCCTGCCTGGGTCTCCAGTGCCAGCGCCGGCCGTCAGGGGACGCAGTGCCCATTCTGCTCAGTGGGGCCGCTGTAGCCAGAGAGACTCCCAGGGCCACTCTGCGTGTCCCCCTGCCTCTCACCCGACTTGCGTCTCCTGTTAGTAGCATCCATCTCCACAATGTGAGCAGCTCATAGGTGGGAAGGGGGCTTTTCGATATCTCATTTATTCGTTCGGAAACTGTGCCTGGAGCATTCACCTGCGCAAGGGGCAAGTTAGGCCACGGTGCAGTGCTAGAAATGACCTGCATGGGCCCTGCCCTCAGGAGCTCAGCGTCTGGAGGAATGGATGGACAGAGCATGAAAGCAAAGTCAGGTGAAAGAAAAGAGCAGGTGCCATCTAGTAAAATAAAGCAGGTACTTGCAGTGAGAGGCGGGAGGGACAGAGTGAGGGAGTCCCCGGCACCTCAGTGAAGTGGCATTTATGCTGCAAACAGAAAGGCAAGACAGAGGGAACCAGCCCTACACAAGTCTGGGAACAGTGTACCTGGGGTATGCTCAACTGCACTGCAATTGTGTGTGATTCTGTTTCATTGTTTTAATAGAAATTCCAAAGTCTATGACGTTGAGCATCTTTTACTCTGCTTGTTTGCCATCTGCGTATCTTTGATGAGTTGTGTTTTCAGGTCTTTTGCCCATTTTTTATTTGGGTTGTTCATTTTCTTATTGCTGGGTTTTAAGAGTTATTTGTGTATTTTGGATAAGAGTCCATTATTAGATGTGTCTTTGTAAATATTTTCTCCCAATCTGTAACTTGTCTTCTCATTCCCTTGACATTGTCTTTAGCAGAAGAAAACTTTTTCGTTTTGATGATGTCAGCTTATCAATTATTTTTTTCATTGCTCATAGCTTTTATGTTGCATTTTATAAGTCATCTCGAAGGCTTAAGAATGATATAACGGACTTTGGGGGCTTAAGGGGAAGGATGGGAGAGGAATGAGAGATAAAACACTACACATTGGATACAGTGTACTCTACTCAGGTGATGGGTGCACCAGAATCTCAGAAATCACCACTAAAGAGCTTTTCCATGCAACCAAACACCACTTGTTGCTCTGAAACTATTGAAATAAAAATATAAATTACAAAATTAGAGACTAGACAGAAAAAAATAAAAAATTCAAAAATAAGAATATCCTGGAACACAGTAATCAGTATAAAAAATAAAAAAATCATCACTAAACCCAAGATAATCTAGATTTTCTCTTATTTTCTAGACATTTTATAGTGTTGTGTTTTACATTTAGGCCTACGATCCACTTTGAGTTAATTTTGGTGAAGAGTGTGAGATCCGTGTCTGGATTTAGTTTTTTGCATGTGGATGTCCAACATAATTTGTTAAAAAGACTGCGTGTTCTCCAGCGTATTGCCTTTGCTCCTTTGTCAAACATCAGTTGACTATATTTGTGGTGGTCTATTTCTGTGCTCTTTTTTTCCATTGATCCATTTGCCTGTTTCATAAATACCACACTGTCTTGATTACTGTAGCTTTCTTGTAAGTCTTGAGGTCAGGTAGTGTGAGTCCTCTACCTTTATTTTTTCATTACTGAGTTGTCTATTCTGGTTTTCTTGCCTCTTCATATAAACGATAGATTCAGGTTGCCCACAAAATATCCACAAAATAATTTAGTAAAATTTTGATGGGTTTACATTGAATGTTTCAATTAATTTGGGGAGAACTGGTGTCTTGACTATACTGAGTCTTTGTATTCATGAACATGGAATATCACTCCATTTATTTAATTTTTTTTTTTACATCTTTCATCAGAGTTTTGTCATTTTTCTATCCAGGACTCATACATATTTTGTTAGATTCATGCATAAGTATTTCACCGTGGGGGGGTGCTAATGTAAATGGTACTGTGCTTCTAATTTCAAATGCCACTTGTTGAATTCTGGTATATAGGAAAGGAGTTGATTTTTGTATAGTAATCTTGTCTTCTGCAACCGTGCTATAATTGCTTATTAGTTTCAGAAACTTCATCAGTTCTTTGGTAATTAAGATAGCCAATAATGTCACCTGTGAACAAAGACAGTTTAATATTTTTTCCTTCCCAGCCTGTATGCCCTTTAGTTCCTTTTTTGTCTTATTGTTTTGGTTAGGATGTCCAGTATAGTGTTGAGAAGGAATGGTGAGAGGGGACATTTTTTGCCTTTTTCCTGACAGGAGTGCTTTTTAACAGTACAGCTTCCCTGCGTGTGCCCTCTTGAATCAGAAAGTTATGGTGGGTGTTTGGGACCTTCAGCCTGGATGATTTCTAATGGCCTCATTGACAGATGCATTTGTATGTTATGGTGTAACTTCACACTCAAGTTACTTTTGTCATTGTTATGGCATTCTGTTATAGCTGCTAAGATGCTGAGGCTTAAGAAATTCTTCTTCATGAACACTTATTACTCCCTTCTCAGCCATTGTCTTTTTACCCTTGTTATTGTTTTCAGTGGACACTGGGATTTGCTGATTGTAATTGTCATCTTGGTGATCTGCTTCATGTGTGATACACTAGATCAATTAGTGTCTCCTGCACATCCCATGGCTGAGGGTGTGAAGAGTAATACGTAAAAGAGCCTCCCATGGAAATAGCTAAAGGGTTTGTGTGTTTGGGAGAGGAAACTGGGAAAGTTCACAAGTAATTATAAACTAGAATAAAAAAGTAGCATGGGATAAATATAAATGATATTCAGTGGGACTTTAAAAGGAAGAAATTGTATCAAGTTGTGAGGAATATATGATCATTGAAATCAACCTTCAAGATTAGAAGGACTAATGAATAGAAATGGGGAGAAATAATTTTTTGGTGGTTGAGTAGTTTTATTTAAAGATTCTCAACGTAGAACACATTATCAAGGAAAAATCATGAGGATAAAGTGTAGCATGAATACACTTTTTAAAAGTGCATTTTGGTTTTTACATGGATGGCCTGTTCTCAAGGATGAGGGAAGTTAACACTGAGAGTGAGTGAGTAATTTAGGTTTAGATAATAGGCATTTCTTTATCCATTTGCTTTCTTGGATATCATACACTCAATAATAATGTATAGGGAATAGTCTCTCTGGGGCATCCTTTGCACAGTGGCTCATTCTAAGTCAGTGCATGCATTGAGCGAATAACACACATGTTCTGCAGCCTGTGTGCATGTCTCTCGATGTTTAACACAGCTTCACACAACCTTTATCATCACCTCAGCAAACTCAGGGCTAAACCTTTTCCTGACAACAGAGCAACAAGTCTGATTTCTTTGCACGCATATGATGTTCAGGGATGAAGACAGGGAGAAGAAGTGCAGAAACAACAGCAGACCTTTTGTTTCTTTGCAGCTGGGCAGATAAGCACACTCAGGGAAGAAAAAGTAGGGTCTGCTGTGGTTGAAAGAGTAGAAACCAGACAACAGAAATGACAGCCGCCCATGAAGGATCACAGAAACAGCAAACAAAAGCTAAGCCCTGTTATGCTGGTGGCAGATCTGCTAAGCCTGTTCTGATTGACTCAAATTTTTGCACATCTCCACCAAAGCACTCAGCCTTTCAGTTCTCGCTTGGAGTCATTTGTTTTGAAAACATTAACCCGGGGAACAGCACTAAGCGATTCTGTTTGGGTTGAAGCCAATGGAAGCCTAAGGACTAAATGTATCACTTCATGCAGGATATTTACAAACACTGCTCCTGGCACTAAAGGTTTACTTGCCTTTTCTTCCCCACAGCAAAGGGACTTATCTTCTGCCAAGGTTTCAATGGAGATGACCAATTGGAGTCATCTAAGCCAAAATAAACCTTGTTTTGTCCCCCAAGAGCAGATTTGCTTGTGTGAATGATGCAGCTGTCTTGCCAAGCCAACAACTTTAGAAGTCAATAGACTACTTAGAGGCCACGGATTATAAATATGCAAAAAGGAGAAAGATTCCACAAAGAGGATGTGAGAATTATGACCTTTGAGAAATAGCATTTGGCTGAGCCAGTGATGACAAGATCAAGTAGGGAAGCATGGGCCTCTGCACAAGACCACTGTGCTAGATCTTTGTGGACAAGAAATTCCATCTGTTTGGTCATTCGTCAGGGCTCTAAGTATAGTGTTTTGTCTAATACGAAGCTAAAAAGGCCAAATTCAGCCCAAAAGAAATACCATGGCCACTCAGACAGCAACACTAGTTTATAGAATCTGGACAAAATTTGGCTGCTATAATGGAAGGAGGCTTAAGTTCTGTTTAAAGTGACACAAAAATAACAGCTTGTCATGTGAGCAACCAAAAAAAAAGCATCATGTTTTTTAGCCATAAATAGATTATGACAGAAAGAAAAATCACTGTGGTGTACTATTAGAAGATCCTCAAAATATTTCCAGAGTGCGGAGAAAAAAAAAATCAGAAGGAAATTCTGCTTGTAAATGCTCATTAGACATTCCCAAGGACGAAAATTTCTTCTTCAAATTTCACATAAACTTGCCCCACATACACAGAAAGCAACCAGTAAGTTGCTAATGTAAAGGAAAAAAGCCACAAATAATAGTCCACAAGTTTCTGAGGACAAGATTATATCATAAGCTCTTTCTCACTGAAGTTGCCCAAAGTCAACTATCCTGTCTTCTATCACAGCTTAACTGTTGTTAGACTTTCACTGGAAATATCTACCTTATCTTTGTCTCATGATGAAAATACGGTCCAAGAAACCACAAGAACCATAAATGTGGATCACCCTCTCCATGTGGCTTTATTAATGGGGAGCTTCTGCTTGTAACTGAAATGGTTGCAGGTGTTGCCATCACGCTACCAATGGGTTGATTTAACATAGTATTATTATGTCATTTCTCTCCAATGCCTCAACCTTGTGGAAAATGGCAACCTTGAATGGGGTAGAAGACACTCATCTACCCCTCAAGTGAATTCTTTGTAGATTTATGTTGCCAGTGATTGACTATGACCAACGTCCACATGTTATCCACTTCCAGTATAATTTTAGTTAAATAGAAGCCTTAAGGAGAATAATCCTTGCTTTCTCAAATATCGCTGCAATGAGATCCCATTTCTAATTCAAATTCAATCTTGAAGTAGATTCTTTTTAAGCTGAATCAGTTAGAATTAACATGGATTGAAAGAAAAAAGGATATTAAACAACTTTTA